CCTCCCACCCCCCTCCCCTCTAGAACCCTCAGTTTGTTTTTCAGAGTCCATTGCCTAGAGATTGGTTTTGCCTGTCCTTCGACTTAAATGCAATCATACAAGATGTACTTTTGTACTTTTTGTTCAGTACAGGGCCTGAGATATTCATGCACATGCTTGTGTATATCAGCGGTTCGTTCTTTGTTAGTGCTGAATAGTAGTCCATCCGGTGAATATACCACTGTTTGTGCCTGTCCTGCAGATGGACACTTGGATTTTTCCAGTTTGGAGCAATTATGAGTAAAGCTGCTGTGCACATTTAAATGCATCTGCTTTGGGGGTGACATCCTGTAAGTCCTTTTGTGCCTTGTACGACATTATATAATGGGGGCGAAGAGGGGCGTTACTGATAAATTCTGGCTGTAAGGGGCTACCCTTCAAAGGTTTTCTCCCTCTCCCTCTTCCTTTCCTTCCCTTCCCTGTTCTCTCTCTGTTTCACTCTCTCTCCTCCCTCTACTCGCTCCCACTCTCTCTCCCCTCCCTCCCTTGGCGCTCTTGCCAAGATGTCAACATCAGTCCTTTGCGGAGGAACAACTCCAGATACAACACATGTCCGTCCGCTCGGGAGGTGACCCGAGGCAAATGGCGGGAATTGAGAAGTTGATCCTTGGCCGGCATGGGGGCTTTGCCAGTAAGTGGGTCAAGCGTGTGTTTCATTACCTTGCTGGTTAGTTAGGGATTGGAGCAGGGCCAAGGTGACCGACCCCAAATAGCTTCCCTGCCCCAGCTGGGCTTCCTGTGGGCAAATGGATCCAGAATTGTCAGCTGGATGCCAGACATCTGGTGGGGAATTAATAAGTACTACTGCCCCTCCCTCCCCCACCCCTGTGAGGCCTTGAGGACAGAAGTGACCCCCAGAGAGCCAATATCTCCCAGGAGGCTTGGAGCAAGGCCTGGTGAGCTGGGGCCTACACGCACTGAGTGGGGAGCCCTCAGAGATCGAGAAGGCCGAGCCAGTTCCTACCTCCAGGCCTTTGCACCTGCTGTCCCTTCAGCCTGGCCCCCTAGACCCTGATCTCTGTCTAGCTGGCTCCTGCTTGCTGTTTGGCCCTCATCTCAAAGGTCGCCTTTTCAGGCAGTGACCTGACCATGTGATCTGACCATGTGATCGATTGTGGTCTGATTTCCATTGTCTGGCCTTGTTTTTGTCCAGCATTTCTCAATAGCCCAGGTATTTCTTGTTTGTTGCCTTATTATTTCCTTCCCCCCACCAGACCATAAGCTCCATACAAACATGACCCTTGTCTTTATTTGTTCACCTCTGTCTCCAGGGCCTCAATGGATATTTACTGAATGAATAAATACATGGTCTAAATCAGGCGGCACAAACTCAAGTGCAGGGCACCATTTCATGAGTGAATCGGGCTGGCAGAAGAAAAAAGTCACATCGCTTTCTCAAGTCTGATTTGTATTTCTGGCAGTTCCATTATTTTAGTAGCAGGGGAGATGCCCACGCTTGATGGTAAATCACAGCCAGCACTGGGCCTCAGAACCAGGAAAGCAATAGGGAGGAGTGGGGACTGTGGCGAATGGGGGGAGGGTTATCGGCCCCTCTAAGAACATCAACTGCTGCTCAGCTTCTGGCTGTTGTCATGAGAACATGAGCCCCATGATGCTGGATCTCCTGATTTTTCAAAAGCTTGAAACTGTGCTTTTAGTGGGACATCTCACAGTTTTAAAAGATTTGCTTATTAAGAAGAAAGTGTAGGCAAAAACCCCACATCTGCAAGCACCATCAAATCCATGGTCACCCAGTTATGATCTTTAGTCTAAATGGTTTTAATTGGCATAAAATTCCAGAAAAGCGCTCACACATAGACAATTCCGAATCTAAGTCAAGTTGTTCACAGATTACTAGGGATCATGGGATGCTGTATTTAAAATCTCTGCTCCATTTCTAAAATTCCTATTTTCCAGGTATAGAAACTGAGGTCTGCTGAGGAGCAGTGATCTCTTGAGGACCATGCAGAACACAAAAGCAGATCTCACCACACCCAGGCCTGGTTACCATTCAAATGGTGGGCCAGGGAGTGGGGTCCAGGAGGATCCACGATTTTACCCCAGCCCACAGCACATCTGTCCCACCTCTGCCTCTGGGCCCCCCTGTTTCATGAACTCAGACCAGCCCCCTGGCCGCGTGGAGGTTCGGTCTGCATGTCTGCAAATGGAGACTTCCCTTGATCCCTCAAGGGCAGATTCGGGTAGAAGCATAGAGTCACATGATCCCAGGGCCCCTGTTCCTTTGAATTTTAACTTCTGGAGTTTAGAGGTTGGGGCAGGTGTCTGATCCTGCAGAGACTCATTTTCTGGGTCATATCAGAGTCAGCAATTTGCCTCTTTGTCACTTTGTTCTGTCTCGAGGCTCCGCTTCAGGAGACGGAATCTTGCTGAGGTGGCCCAGGGTAGATGAACTCATGGCTTCTGGTGACATATTTCTCAGCTACCCAGCCCCTCCCCTCTGCCAGTAGAAGCTGGTACCATCTGGCTGAAACCTCCAGGGGTGGATGAGCCTAAAGGAAGCTGCTGCCTGAGGAGACAGGTGTC